TGTTGGGCTTCTGCTCCGCGGGGAGCCTGCTTCTCCCTCTCCCTCTGCCTCCTGCTCTCCCTGCTTGTGCTCTCTCTGTCAAAGAAATAAATAAAATCTTAAAAAAAAAAAGAAAAAAGGCAAAATTATGCTAAGCTTTTGTGTCCTGAGAACTGGGCTTGGTAACTGTGCAGTTGAAGGCTCTAAAATACGGCTAGACAGAAATGTGGGCTATACCCCATTTGTGGCTAGATATGACCAGACCAAAATGTAGGTTAAATTCTACTTGTAGCTAGGTTCCTACCTAACTGCTGCCAGCCTTTAAGAGAATTACAATGGCCATTTTGAGGAATGTTCGAATTAGGTAAGTTCGTTTTTAAAAGTGCACTTAAAAGCATGGGTTTCCAAGTCAAACAAATGGAATGCGAAACCTATTTTAATTGGCATACAGAAACCTCCAAAGTGCTTCAGAATTCCAAAATACCTATAATGAAAGTTCTGTTGTGAAAGGCTAATGAAAAATTAAAAATATAATAGGTACCTAAAATAATAGACCATAAGACTGATATAACCCCTACCACTTCCCTCTATCTTCCTTTATCTGAGTACTTACTCAAGTAATCCTCTGTCTCAATAGCTTTTTTCACTTTGAAAAGGCTATTAAACAGTTTTACCTTTTACAGTAAGACCACCTAAGGCTACAGATCCTGTTCAACTATCTTTTACTCCTTGGTCAAAGGCCAAACCAAGGGCCATATTTAAAAATTTCCAAAACCCACAGAAAACCCTCAAAAATTTTTGTAAATGTAATACCTCCTAAGATTAATAGATTGATAAAATGGCAGAAACTAGGATGAGAGGCCACTGGTCTGACCAAGCATTATGAGCACTAAGCACTTTGCTCTTTGGGAAAGGACTTTGGGACAAGACTATAAACAAAATCCACCAAATTAGTGGCCTTACAGACAATCCCAAATCTATGCTCCAAGAAGGGACCTCATATGGGCCCCTCCCAGAGTTGATGAAACTCTGAGACATTTTCTAGTAAAATGCTACATAACTCCCTTAAACAAAATAAGGGAAAACTAAAAATGAATGAAAAACCTTGGTGAATTCTAGTAGATACTGGAGCTTCACTCTACTTTAAACCCTACTTGGAGCTTATAGATGGGATCCTGGGGAAGCTAACTAAAGCTGGCTAAGGGTGAGAATTCTTATCAGACTTGACTCTCCCAAATCTCAATAGAGAAAGGAAAACAAAATATCTTTTGCGTGCTCTTTCTAAATGTCTCTTGAATCCAAGGGGTTGTTAAATACTGCCAGAAATATTTACTGTTCGTCTCAGCTGAAAACTGATGAGCTATATAAAGAGATTTTTTTTTAGCAGTTGGCTAAATTGCAAGCTGATATTCAAAATCTGATAGGAATTTTTTTAGGCCCTCTCCCCTAAACTACAATAAAACTATATACCCAGGCAGGGGGTGGGGAGTGGAATCTTCTAAAGCCTTTGTGGAAGGATTCCTAGAGCTCTTAAAAATAGGAAAACTAACCCAAATGTTTTTGGTCTTTTTTTTTGTTTCAAGTTCATATGTTCTAAGATAATCTTCAGTGAATAAAACCTAGTTTAAATTTGTTGGTTTAATTAAAATAGACATGCCGAGGCACCTGGGTGTCTCAGTCGGTTGAGCATCTGCCTTCGGCTCAGGTCATGATCCTGGAGTCCTGGAATTGAGCCCTGTGTCTGGCTCCCTGCTCAGTGGGGAGTCTGCTTCTCCCTCTCCCTCTGTACCCGCCCCCCCCACCCCACTCATGCTCTCACTCTTGCTCACTCTCTGTCTCAAATTAACAAATAAAATCTTAAAAAAAAAAAAAAATAGACATGTCCAGGGGCACCTGGCTGGCTCAGTTGGTGGAGCGTGTGACTCTTGATTTTGGGGTTGTGAGTTCAAGCCTCACACTGGGTGTGGAGATTACTTAAAAATAAATAAAATCTTTAGAAAAAAATAGACATGTCTGTGCAGTTATCAACGTAGAATGAATGTAATATAGACATACAACTTTTATTCTACTTGGGTTTACTAATCTATAAAGTAAATGTTTTCTGTGTTACAAAATTAGTCAGCCAGAAAAATAACGTGGGATAATGCGTAACTTTGTCTAATGTCTAATACAGTTTTCATAAGTAATCTAAACATAATTTTAAGAACAAATGCTTTACATAGATGTAAATGGGATAAGAGTTTCTAGGTGAATTTTCAAACAAATAGTTTCCAAAACCTTTTGGTTACCCAAAAACTTAGTTTTGGTAAGTTAAGTTAAATGATGAATTAAGGCAAGTTTATTGAATATCTAGATCATCTCCAAATAAAATAAAATACTGAAACATTACTAAAAATAGGTTTATCCACGTTTGGCTGCTTTTACAAAGGAACTAATGATATTTGGGTCCGTTAATAAACATGTCTTGTGTCATACTGAAAACTTTACTATGAGAAAGCATATGTTTTGGAAAACTGCAAAAGTATTTCTATATTTGCCAAGCCACAGAATGCTAGCGTAAGAGACAGTCCACAATTGTTCACTTCTTAATTTTCAGTAGAAAATAAAGTTTATAAAGATTAAAAATTCTAATATAATTAGAGTAATTAAAGCTACTAGAAATTATAAGGGAAACATCTCTGTGTGCAAGGAAAGTAGAATCTATATTTTCAGTAAGAAAAAGCATAAGGAATGGAGATGCATTTTGTTGAAGGAAAAGAAATTAATTTTGTCCTAAACCGAAGCTGGCTATTTCAGAATGGGAAAGAGTAAAAACAGGACAAAATCCGAATGTAAAAAAGAAATTCATAGAGGGGCGCCTGGTTGGCTCAGTCAGTAGGGCATCCTATTCTTGATCTCAGGGTTGTGAGTTTAAACCCCACATTGGGTGTAGTGATTACCTATATGTGTGTATGTGTATTTATTTATTTATTTATTTACTTACTTACTTATTTATTTATTTAAAATAGATTTTAAAAAAAGAAATTCAGGGCACCTCGGCTCAGGTCATGACCCCAGGGTCCGGGGATCAAGTCCCGCATTGGGTTCCCTGCTCCGTGGGGAGCCTGCTTCTCCCTCTCCCTCTGCTTCTCCCCCTGCTTGTGCTCTCTCTCTTTCTATCAAATGAATAAATAAAATCTTAAAAAAAAAAAAAATTCAGTGGCGCCTGGGTGGCTCATTCAGTTAAGAGTCTGCCTTCGGCTCCAGTCATGATCCCAGGGTTCTGGGATCGAGTCCCACATCGGGCTCCCTGCTCAGTGGGGAGTCTGCTTCTCCCTCTCCCTCTATCGCTCCCCCTGCTCGTGCCCCCTCTCTCTCTCTCAAATAAATAAAAAAAATAAAAAGAAAATCAGAGAAAGCTTATGGGAAAAAAATCTTGGTAGGGGAAAGGTGCAAGATGGCAGCAAAGGAAGATCCTGAACACACTTCGTCCCACAAACACACCAAATCCATACCTACATATAGAACAATTCCTTCTGAAGAAGAACTGAGGGTTGGTTGAATAGCTTCTGCACAACAAGGGATATAGGGACCACACAAAGAATGGCAGGATAGATGGAAACACAGTAACACAAAAATCTCTCTCCAGATGCTGTGAACTGTAGTGGGGAATGATAGCACTGAGGGATCCATGTGCAAATTCACATGTTCTAGGGCACAGAAAAAAAGCTGCAGTTTAAAGGGCAACTAGATTACAAGTAAACTAACCTTAGAGTGTCCTCCAAATAGCAAAGAAACTCCTGGAACTCTCTCTGGGGTCAGATGTACTCTTGAGCATGATTGTTTACATTCCACCTCTTTCTTTCTTTTTTTAATTTTCTAATTTTTATTTTTAAGTAATCTCTATACCTAACATGGGACTTGAACCTACATCCCCAAATCAAGAGTCACATGCTCTACCAACTGAGCCAGCCAGCCTCTCCATCTATCTTTTTTCCTTAAAGATTTTATTTATTTATTTCTTCTTATTTTTTTTAAAGATTTTACTTATTTATTTGAAAGAGAGTGCACGTGCACGTATTTGAGCAGGGTGAGGGGCAGAGGGAGAAGCAGACTCCCTGCTGAGCAGGGAGCCTGACGCAGGGCTTGAATCCAGGACCCTGAGACGATGACCCAAGCCGATGACAGACGCTCAACTGACTGAGCCACCCAGGCACCCCGCCCTATCTATCTTTTTTTTTTTTAAGATTTTATTTATTTATTTGAGACAGAGAGAATGAGAGAGACAGAGAGCACATGAGAGGGGGGAGGGTCAGAGGGAGAAGCAGACTCCCTGCCGAGCAGGGAGCCCGATGCGGAACTCGATCCAGGGACTCCAGGATCATGACCTGAGCCGAAGGCAGTCGCTTAACCAACTGAGCCACCCAGGCGCCCCCGCCCTATCTATCTTAATAGCAAAAATGGGAGTAGGATCTGGGCACTGTAGATGACCTGCCACCTCAGTAAGCATATGCCCCTAGCCCACACCAGCCCCAGCCATTTCCCTAATGTGGCTCCCACACCAGTGCCTGCCTGAGTTCCAGTCATCCCGCTCAAGTGACCCAGGTGAGTTGAAAACTGAGACACTCCTAAACTGTGCTTGCTACAGCTCCAGCTGTCCCACCAAAGTGGCGCAAATGCAAAGCAACCAGAGACACCGTAGGCCCTCACCTACTTCAGCTCCAGTTGACATTCCAAAGTAACCTCTGCACCCAAAGATCACTCACCCATGCCCACTTCTGCTCCAGGCTCCTCAGCCTGCATACTCCAGCTTCAGCCAAAGCCACCAGACACATGCAGTCTACACAAGGATGTTCCTACCCAAGGCTACTCCTTCAAGACTGGGAGAGGTAGCTGTTTGGCCTCATTGATAGAAAAAAACCCAAAAAGTCAAAAAAATGAGAGAGAGAAATACAGTCCAAATGAAACCAGAAGACAAAACATCAGTAGAAGAACTATAAGAAATGGAGATAAGCAATCTACCTGATGAAGAGGTCTAAGTGATGGTCATAAAGATGCTCATTGAACTCGACAGAAGAGTGGATGAACTCAGTGAGAACTTCAGCATAGAGATAGGTAAAACAAGCAAACAAACAAAATTGAAGAATACAATAACTGAAAAATACACTAAAGGGAATCAACAGCAGATAAGAAGATGCAGAAAAATGGATCAGTTATCTGGAAGACAGGGTAGTGGAAAGCACACAAGCTGAACAGATAAAAGAGAAAATAATTTGAAAATGTGGCTAAGTTAAGGGACCTCAAAGACAACATTAAGCATACTAACATTCTCCTTATAGGAGTCCCAGAAGGAGAAGAGAGAAAGGGGCAGAGAACTTATTTGAAAAAATAATAGTTGAAAACTCCCCTAACATGGGGAATGAAACACATCCAGGTCCAAGAAGCACAGAATGCCCCAAATAAAATGAACTCAAGGAGGTCCACACCAAGATACATAATAATTAAAAATTTAAACATTAAAGATAAAGAGAGAAACTTAAAAGCAGCAAGACAAATTAACTATGTCCAAGGGAAATACCATAAGGCTATCAGCTGATTTTAGGGGTATTTTTTATTTTATTTTATTGTTATTATTTTTTTAAACATTTATTTATTTATTTGAGAGAGAGAGAGAAAGAGAGGAGGGAGGGGCAGAGGGAGAGAGACAATCTCTAGTGGACGCCTCACTGAGCATGCAGCCAGACCCAGGGCTTGATCTCATGAGCCAAATGACCTGAGATCATGACCTGATCCAAAATGAAGTGTTATGTGCTTAATCAACTGAACCACCCAGGCACCCCCATTTCATTGGTTTTTTTTGTTTGTTTGTTTGTTTTTTTAAAGATTTATTTATTTATTTGACAGAGAGAGAGACTGCAAGAGAGGGAACACAAGCAGTGGGAGTGGGAGAGGGAGAAGCAGGCTTCCCACTGAGCAGGGAGCCAGATGTGGGGCTGGATCCCAGGACCCTGGGATCATGACCTGAGCCAAAGGCAGACGCTTAATGACTGAGCCACCCAGGTGCCCCTATTTCATTGTTTTTTTAAGGTAAGCTCTATGTCTAATGTGGGGCTTTAACTCATGACCCTGAGTTCAAGAGTCACGTGCTCTACTGGCTGAGTCAGCCAGGCTCCCCTATCAACTGATTTTTCTTTTTTTTTAAAAGATTTTATTTATTTATTTGACAGAGAGAGACACAGCGAGAGAGGGAACACAAGCAGGGG